GATATTAATAAAAACCTATTTGCCTAAAAAACTTTTGCCATTTTTGTTCTTTTTTGTTTTGGAAAACAAAATGCGTGGAAAAAGCGCCCAAAAAATTAGGATAGTACCTCAACATCAATCAGTTTCTCCTTCCATGCCACCACAACAAAGCTATCATTCGACACCTTCACGAAGCCGAAATCATTCTAGAACTACTTTACGAAGCTGCAATCGGTCATCAATGCTACCTCATTCTAATCGATACTAACGATCTACACGCAGGTCCAGATTCCGCTCTCATTCTCATAAAAGAAGTTATAAACGTTCCAATAGACATTCTAGGACACCTGACAGAAGTGATAGGGGTACTATTAAGACTTTTTTTTTTAATAAAGCTATTTATATACTGATAGGTCTAACAGTTTATTTTGTAAATACTAGAGATCAGTTTTTTGAATTAAGCAGTTTATTCGTTAATAAGCAAAGTTAAAGAACTAAAAAAAGCTTTCCAACCTCCAACTCCAAGCGTACAAGAACAAGGTAACAATGTCTATAATTATCAAAGCAACGAAGGTATTAGAACCACTAGTACTACCAGATTATCATTTTCGCTAGAGGACTGTGGACTAATAGACCTGGAAAATGAAATGAATAATAATCGTCTCACCAACAATGCCAGTAACAATTATTGAACCATCACAAACAACTATCAATATAGCAATACCACTACTGACAATGCCGGTAACAGTACCATCACCCCCTAAAATGGTACCAATAGTCCTAATAACGCCACCAGCAATAGTCTTACCACTACTGATATTGCACCTGCAACCACCACAGCAAATGCAACCACAACCACTGCATCAAACAAAGGTAAACAGAAGCAACAAGCTGGTGGTAATAACAATAATAATCAGCAAAAACCATCAGTATCTTCAGAACCACCTACCAGTTACCAAAAAAGGTCACATGAAATCTTGGAAGAAATGGATGAAGAGCAATATAAATTGTTTCATGTATGTATCAGCATTTGAAAATCGAATTTATGTTAAAAGTAATTATAGAGCTATCGGTTTAATGAATATTTATTTAAATGTGCAGGATGAGGTGGTTCAAATAACAGATGGCCTTGACGAAAGGTTACGTATGGATTATACAAAAAATTGGAG